TGCAGCCGTGATTTACCGGAGAGCTAGAATTATCGCAAGAAATTCTGCTTCAAAGATGGACACATAATCTTCAAGGGCAAGCGAGAAGGACCAATCTAGGGTGATAGACAAAATAACAATTCTACATGTTTGTTCACTTTGTGACGCATCATTCGATATGACTGCTTCTGTAGACGTATGTGTCTGGTAGTCTCTTAATATTCCTTCTAAAAATGTGAGCCGCCTCAATTTTGAATTTTGCGGAAAGTCTTCCCACACTGTGGTCTTCCCACAGTCAACACCACGACGATTCTACGCAGTGGGCGTTCCCTGGCTGCCTGTGCGATGCCTGATCAAGACGAATACGAGGATTCTTCGGCGACTACCCCACACTTCCACCAAAATGTTACGGGGAGAAGGCGTCTGAAAAATACCTTTACTTTTGGTAAACAGGCAGGCATACAATATGGAGCCTGGTCTGCACGAGCTCACCCTAAACATCGTCCTCTTTTCTACAATGTTCATTTGTGGCATCCCGTAGCAATATTATCAAACTGTAATTTAACAGCATTTTGATAGTACAGATGAAAGGAATAGCGTTATTTTAAACGCCAGATTCTTCTAAAAAGCGCCGTATAACCAGAATTGCAAAAGGGTGATCCTGGTCACCTACTCACGTGCGTATAACCACTTCACGCATAATTCCTCATCGTGGTCAGCCACTACATTGTTTATTGGCATGAAATTCTTTGCAAGTGTTTAGGGGATACCACGCTTCAAATGACGAAGGATAGCATAGTGAATCGCTGCCTACTACTTAGAAATTATTATTGTAGTAGGTATCCAGCAAGTTTGCTTGTCACAGAGACCTGAGGAGTGTATAGAAGAGGCTCTGAAAGGCAGCTTTTCAAGCTTTTGCTGTGACTACGCTTCACCTTCCGCGTAGACCTGGCGTTTATTATATGTAGTTTTGAAGATAATAGTGAAAAAAAAATCTGGAATTTTCCAAATCACTCATGTTTCGCACCACTCCGTAGGGCGGGGCCGAGTTGTGCTCCAGGTGATCTTGTTGTGAGGAGAAGCTTTGCAGCAAGCGCGAGCGAATCGTGCTCCATTGACCTATGAAGCTTGCAGGTAACTAGAGTAGCTTTAAGATGGTGCGCGAATGCCAGCAGCTACGCACGCGTTGCGAATATGAGACCATTTGTATCAGTAAATAAAACCAACCCACGAACGTCTGTCGATGTCCTAGACTGAGGTAAAACATTGTGGCTCTCGGGCCTTCAAGCAGAGGTTCTATCATGTCAAAGCATGTCGTCACTCGCTTCAGGTGCAGTTCCGCAAGAGTTTCGAGTGGCGCGTGTTTCGAGCGGTGCAGGTGCGCACACCCGCACACATGACAATGACGCCATCGGAATGACTAGCAACACTGGACGTTTCATTGCGTCTAATATAGGAATAGAAGTAAAAACAAAGCACCTGAAAACGGGCTTAAAAGGCCACCTCCACACGTTACGCATTTGTTGAGCCTTAAGAAATAATTTTCGGTAGAAGCATTCTTCCCCAATTTGACGCCACAGCACTCTGCTGAATACTCCTGCACACATATCATCCACTTATTACAGCTCAACAATGTGAGAAGGTGAAGCTGACACCACAATTATATATATGAAAGTGATGGACCCTTTTAATTAAAGAACGTTGACGTTACGGCAGCGTAGCCATGAGCCGCATGCAATTCTCTGAATTCGATGAGCCAAGCGTATTTTCCCAACAACATACCCACAATGGTTCGCGCAATAGTATGTCAAAAATATCTATTTCGCAAAAACATATCATATCAAACTTATTGTAAATGTTCAGGTGTTGAAGCAACTGCTAAGAGGTGCTAGATGCACGAGAACCAATTTCAACATGCCAAGATTGATGTTTCAGGGCATCCATCACCGGTATTCAATTCGAGTAGGCGTAGTAATAAAACAGTTAGAGGGAAAATATCTTTTTGACTGGTCGTATAATATTGCAATCAACACTTATTAAACGTTCGAATGATTTGAAAAAGAATTTAGAGGCGTATGCAGGTGGTGGCGCAACTATTTACGCGAAGACTACTGCGTCCCCTTGTAGGCGCGGTTATGTCTCTCCTCCTTATTTGTATCTCCGCGTCCAGGTGAAGTGCATGTAGCTGTGGCCAAATTTTTTACGCTGGTCACCCACTGTCTCACAATACGCGGGTTCGATCCCGCCACAGCGGTCGCATTTATACGGAGGTGAAATACTTGGAGCCCTATGCTTTGCACAATATAAGCGCACGTTGAAGCACCAGAGGTGGAATAAACAATACGGAGCCTTTCTCTTCGGTGGCTCTCATAGCCTCAGTCACTTAGGAAATTATGCTCCGCCAACGGAAACATTGTACCTTTCGGTTGGTTTTTTTAGATGAATGCCACAATTTCATCCAAACATGCACCGCTAGCTCACTCTTGGTGCGACATCATCATTCTTACGACGTTCTTTTGCTCACGATTTACCCTCCAATGAGTTGTATGCTAGTCTAATGTACAAAATTGAAAAATAAAAGGCTCACGCAGCCTACATTGCTTCGGGCAGGCACACAGATGTTCATTTTAATGCGGCGAGTTTTGCAGAATGCGTCTGACAGGAGCTGTCAGGAATTGTCAAGTGTGATGCGCTGGAATTCGACAAATGTAGTGGACACCTTGCTTTCACAGCGAAAGCTCTTATGAGAGCCACGGCAAGCCCTCTTTTTTGGAGTCGTGCTAGCTCTTTGGCATCGCCGGTTTCCGTAACTCAGGCAAAAAAGAAAAAAAATAAGTAACCGATGTTTTTTTCTAGGAATCCATGTAACAGGGAAGTGAAACGTGTCTGCACGGAGAAAGCTGAGAGCTCCTTATGCATGGTTTCGCCACAAGAGCGAAGCATTGAACGCTACAGCAACGATTTGCAAAGTCACGGGAACAACGGAAAGCAGGTCCACACTTGAAACGGGCACCTCAAGCACAAAAAACGCGCAAAAAGAACATACACCTCATCACCTCAGAGGGACAATTATAACGGCTTTGCTGAAAGACGCACGAAACGAGCGCACATGTTTGCATAGTATGAGCAAAACCTGATTGAATTCTTTCGTGTTTTAGCAGCGTGCTCATTTTGTCAATGCGTCCGCGGCAGCGAGGAAATGACCTTCGTGCTTTCTTTAACTACTGTAACTTCAAAGAAAGCTTCAGGGGAAAGCACAAGGGGTACGAAGCGCCCGAACCACAAAATGAGCTTCAACCGTGAAGAACGCTCTGTAGAGGCGCGCGTGGTACGCGCGTAGCGACGACCTTGAGAGCGCATGTCGCGCAATGGCGCTACTGAAGACGAAAGCGTGCTGAAGTTGCTGGGCTCTGAGGACCATCAACGAAGTGTGGCGTATAAAAGTTTCTTGCCGTTAGCGCGCTGTCAAAGCTGCGCTTCGTTTCTGAATGCTTTTGCGCCACACGTTGCGGAGAGAGAGGTTGCAGGTTCGACGCCTGGCAATATCCCTTCTCGATTTTTTCTTTTCAATAAATTAGTAGGTACTTTACTACGTCACCTGTTTTTCGGTCAGGGGACATAAATACATCAGCATAGCTGCGGTGATTGCCAGCATAAACACTTTCGTGTAATAAAAAACGAAATAACTAACTTGTACAGGATGCAAGTGTGTTGGAACCCGGTTCGTCTCCATAGCAGCCTAGTGTTGTACCACAGAGCGATGTAGGTGCTCGACGGCTATGTGAAAAGAAGCTCTATACAGGCGCCATATCGAGTGCGAACCACGTGGACATATCTAATATAACGTTTTCGAGAATTAAAATAACAGCTAGGCGTCTTACAATGCCAATTGCGCAACCATGTTTCACAATATATGAATTTCGCGACGAGCGGTTCGTGAATGCTTCCAACGCATTACAAAGGCCTGAGCCATAATTATGGTTCATCAGACAGAGCATAAAAAATACGCATATTGCCTTGCAGATCCACTGTGGGTTGCTCGCTTCCCCACAGAATGATGAGTAACGAAATATTGGTGCTTACCAACTTTACAAACATAGTAATTCATTGCGTAGTGGATACTTTGCAAGCGTACTTGTGTTAGCAGCTTCGAGAAAATTAACCACGGGTTCTCACAGTGACTCACTCACTGTGACTGCATTGCGTTTTCTGAGCAGGCATGGCATATTTTAACTATTGTTTTATTACTCTAAGTAGTGATAACACGGAGACATTTGTGAGTGATATTGCGGTTCTGTGGCGATTGATATCTGTCAGACGTTCGGTTGATATATGCATGAATATAGCAATGTTGACGCAACAGAAAACTCAATACTAATGGCGGAAATGCTTCTGTAAGATCGCATTGGCTACACTTTCTTTTGGGCCATGGTCTAGGGAATATTTGAAAATTTCTCTGCGGAAGACGACATACACACTTAGTGTTATTTTCGTCCTTATCATGTGAATTCGAGCTCTTGAAGTGCTAATATATTTTCTCTTTCATCGATATGCTGCGTGATAAGTAGTTGTGGTTACACTCAAAGAACGAAAGAGTCACTGCCTAAATTAGTAGGTAATTCCACGACAGATTTTTAGAGCCTGGTGTAAGAAGCACTATTTTCAAACTAATCGCTCAAGGTTGTAGTATTGACCAACGTTCGTAATTTCGGGCTTTGAGTTAAGGTATTTGGCACTGTACTATTGTTACCTTCTTCTTTTCTAGAACTCACACACCTATCTTTTTTCTCTTGTTGCTTTCCTTTCATGTCATTCTGTGGCGTACTGTTGTGCGAGCTGGCAATGAAACTTGCTACGACCATTGCCCTTAGCTTTCTCAACTTTTTTTCTGAAGCGCCTTTCCACCTAGCAAATCTATTTAGGGAATACTACCAAATAGTTTTCTAATTTTCAAGCCTCAACCACATTAAACCACAGCGCTGATTTTTCAAAATAAAATGTTTTCAGCAAAGTTTTCTTACCTTAAAAGCATCAGGAGCCTCATGACGATGTTTGTGAAACGTCCAAAATGAACGAGCTGATGCAGAGAACAAGGAAAGGTGGAATGACGACAGTGTCAGCAGTAACACAGGGACCGAAGGAGACATAGTTATCCGAGAATGAATAACAGTCTGAAAAGAGGGCAGGAAAGTTTGCCGTTCCAGTTGCTAGCTGTTTCTCGTTTGCGAATTGGGGCAGTGCTGGTTCGTGCAGGAGAACCACCGTCTTTTTCTTGATCAGCGCCTCCGCATTAATAATATAGCTACCGACTGCGAAAGCGACACGTACGCTGCATGTGCCATACGTGGACTCTAACTGCTCTCGCGTTGCCTTTTTATATTGCAGTTACAAGTGGCCAGCTGTCATGTTCCTAATCAGCTGTTCCTGTGCGGGAGCACACTATTCATTTGAAACTACTAACTTTTTTTTGGGTGACGGGTGGTAATATTTAATGCACTGCAAAATCTAGGAAATGGACATGTGATTACATCAGGTCAACTAGAATATCTCGTTTGCTGCTGTGTCGGGGAGGACAAAAATGAGACAGAAAGCTATCAACATCAAGGTTTCAAGACACTTAAAATAAAAATAACCACAACTAAAAGCACCATAAAAGCAAGATGCCACGGCTCTCACACTGCAGCGTTGTTCGCGAATGTCTTTATAATAAAAGCATGCATATCTCTTTTTGTCTCTCCCTCTCCACATATGTATATGTGACGTATTAGGCGATGGTTGGTAGAAGCCGATGAGGAAGTGAGAATAGATTAAACATGGCGTATGAGCCAGGCCACGTCCCCCATTCATCTTAGCGTCACACGAGTCGACAGAATGGGGACCTGCCTGCCCCTTCATCAGTCGCTCATCAACTACGCAGTTCTCCGCATGACACCCTGAGCATACATGAACTTTCGTGCAAGCGCCTAGCATTATGCATCGACCAGCAACATGTCAGAAGTATCTACTTACCTTCCCATTCCCAAGTACACCGGAGCAGCGGACGATGCACCTGTACAGGACTGGTTCAACCTGTTCGAGCTCCACGCTACCGCTGCATCTTGATCGGAACGGGAAATGGTTACGAACTTCGGCGACTACGTCACCGGTGAGGCATTTACGTTTTACCTCACCCACATATTAGACAACGCCTAGTCTTGGCAAAAGATAAAAGAATAAATGATCGTCTGGTTTCAAGACTATAATGAAGATTCTATTAGAACACGCACTCTCAGTGCATTCGAACTCAGTCATCGCTGTCATAAGCAGCCTTCACACATTCGAGCACAGAGCATGAATTTACAATTCCCGTCCGGTGAAGTTAACCGCATGCTCATGGAAAGACCACGCTGACGTTTTCCCAACTTTTCACCTGGTTCCTCATCCACGCAAATATCGCCAATCTTAACTATCCGCTGCATATAAGAATTGAATCCACTATTGATGACTCAGATGCATTGAATACTTCGTGCCGCATGCGTACTTTTCAAACTGACTTGCTATTCAGCTCAGCAGTTCCACAAAGACAAAAGCATTCACAATCAGCATCTTGTGAAGAGAAGACTTTTGCAGAAGCATCTAGTGTTCATTAATCCCAAGATCGAAGCGACGTCAATCCAGTGCACAACCTCACTGCCAACACTGAAACCAAAAGCGTAGGTGCGACTTCTGATGACACAAGTACCTTTCAGGCAACGACCAACAATGAGCGGTGTATGAATACGGAATGTTGAATTGCGCGAACCCCCCCCCCCCCTCCATTGTCTTGCGCTGAAACAGCTGCATTGCTTGGCATCGTACAAGCCGGTGGAGGGCTTGCTAAGAATCCGGGCACATTACGATCAATGTCACACCACAAGCAAGTCAACGAAACCAAGAAACTACAACGTCACCGTATTCTTCGTCATTATCAACGACGAAAGAAAACTTCATCGAAACCACTCTTAAACCTCAAAGAACCTTGCGAAAAGGCCCATCGTCGTGGATACATTCTCCACCAGAGATCGAAAATGCGCCTTCGATCAAACTGTCATCGACATTGCTATAGAAAAATCTCAAAAATCCACAAAAGCATCCCTTGTACTCGGCAGGAACACAGACAGCGCCCAATCAACCTCAATCAGCGCGCACGCAAGCTGCCTGCACGGCAGTGTATCACTGACGACGACGAATTCGATGCCTACAATATCGGAATTGTCGATTTTGCAAGATGTTCGAGCCTCGTTCGTTCTTCACAAGAATGCCAGCTGTGATTAATCTTATCTCCATGTCCGAGGCATTTTTGTGTTATCCACGACGCAACCACAAGCCTCGCCCACCAGAACTCCTGCGTTAACCGGACTGCTGTACTCTCCCCTGAAGTCTTTGAAAGTTACCGAACTCCCCTTGAGCATAGAACCAATTGTGATATTTGACATTTGTGACTTTTTAACCTCTCCTTGTTTACTTTTTCTTGTTCATTATCCATGCCTGCTTCCGGGGTGAGGGGGAATCGTGTGACGTATGAAGCGATGGTTGGTAGAAGCCGATGAAGAAGAAGTAAGAATAGAATAAACAAGGCGTATGAGCCATGCCACGTCTCCCATTCATCATAGCGTCATATATATATATATATATATATATATATATATATATATATATATATATATATATATATATATATATATATATATATATATAAGGGAAAGAAGTGTATACCTAAGGGCTCGTTTCGCCGTGTTTTAACACAATATTAATGCGATCTCACAGACAGTAATGCCAAGGAATGTACAGAGGAATTTATTAATACCAATGGAATGCAAATAAGAAGAAAGAAAAGTGGATGAAAAAATGACTAACTGTGAGCTGGAATCGAATCTACGACCTTCGAAAAACGCGTTCGATGCCCTAACCACTGAGCTACCACCGCGGCCTTCCCTTCATCCTCTTTTTTGGGTTTATATGAGAATTTAAAAGTAGGAGTGACAGTCAGCGCCATCTATTAGCCAAACGACGAGTTTGAAAACACTCTTATGTGCATGTTTGGCGTCACGTAGCACGTGAACTTATTATGAGTGGGCAACTGATTAATTGTCCCTCTTATACAACCTAAACACACCAAGTCTGCCAGTACGAGACCCTCGTACAATGAAATAAGGGAAAGAAGTGTATACCTAAGGGCTCGTTTTTCCGTGTTTTAACACAATAATAATGAGATCTAACAGACAGTAATCCCAAGGAATGTACAGGGGAAGGTATTAAAAGCAATGGAATGTAAATAAGAAGAAAGAAAAGTGGATGAAAAAATGACCAACTTTGAGCAGGAATCGAACCTAGGACCTTCGAATAAAGCGGTCTGTGCTCTAACCACTGAGCTACCAGAGCGGCCTTCGCTCCATCCACTTTTTTGGGTTTATATGTTTGATTAAGATTATCTAAATTCACATATAAACCCAAAAAAGTGGGTGGAGGGAAGGCCGCTGTGGTAGCTCAGTGGTTAGAGCATCGAACGCGTTATTCGAAGGTCGTAGGTTCGATTCCTGCTCAGAGTTGGCCATTTTTTCATTCACTTTTCTTTCTTCTTATTTACATTCCATTGGTTTTAATAACTTCCCCTGTACATTCCTTGGCATTACTGTCTGTTAGATCTCACTAATATATATATATATATATATATATATATATATATATATATATATATATATATATATATATATATATATATATAAGACACAACTTAGCGGTTCTCTTAGTTTTAGTTCCAACTGTTCCGACAGGTGGACCGGTCTTCGTCAGGGTTTGTGAATAAGTTACTCACTCACTGCACTTATTCACAAACCCTGATGAATACCGCTCCACCTCTCGAAAACATTGGTAATAAACTAAGACAACCGCTAAGTTGTGTCTGTTTTCTTCCCAAGATTGGCCCAATGGAAAAACTACTTCAAACGTGTATTTATATACATATATATATATATATGTATACTCCAGTGGATCTTCCGTGAGTGGTCACAACGTGGTTTATTTCGACGCTTCGGCCTAGATTCTGGCCTTCATCAGTCTGACGAAGGCCAGACTAGGCCGAAACGTTGAAACAAACCACGTTGTGACCGCTCACGAAGGATCTACTGGAGGATCTGCTTATATATATATATATATATATATATATATATATATATATATATATATATATATATATATATATTGTCACGGGGTCGTGACGTGGCCAAAGACAGAAAACTTCGTGTTGGGATTTAACTGTTTATTTGGGCGAACCTGTGCCCGGTAAACGGAAAGTCTAATTACAGCAGCAGTCTTGCACAGATAGCAGTCTCGGACTGATAGCGGCGAACGCAGCGTCGGCCTTCGATCAACAACTGACAAGCGGCGAAGCGCGTCGGCATTTATACCCTTGCCGTCGAATGTTCTAGCGTTATCGCTGGCGGTGGCGTAGGTTCCAGAACAATCTGTACCGTTCGCACAGTGGGCGTGATCTTATCGAAATGATCTACTACAGTCCGGAACCTTCTCGAAACCTGCAGGCGCGGTTTGCGCCGAGAATCGTGTGGTGTTTCGGAACGATAACAAAAACTTGTGAAATGGAACGTGGCATTGCCCCCCTCTGAAAAAAGGCATCGTCCCGATGCTTCAACTAAAGATGAGGGTAAAATAATAATGCAAGAAAGTACAACGAATAAATTACAATACAACAATAATACAAAAAACACTGTTTCAGTTTGTTAACGTGCATGAAACGGCTTGAGGCGCGCGACATGGACGACTTCAGGTCGCGATCGGCGTCGTTGAGAGTTCGTGATGCCGTTGGGGACAACCTCGTAATCAAGTGGGCCGAGACGTCGAACCACCTTGTACGGTCCGAAGTACCGTCGCAGAAGCTTTTCACTTAGTCCACGTCGGCGTATCGGCGTCCACACCCAAACACGTTCACCGGGCTGGTATTCCACGAAGCGTCGTCGAAGGTTGTAACGGTGGCTCCCGATCGTCTGTTGATTCTTGATACGAAGACGCGCAAGTTGTCGGGCTTCTTCGGCGCGTTGAAGGTACTCGCTCACATCGAGGTTTTCTTCGTCGGTGACGTTGGGTAACATGGCATCGAGCGTCGTTGCCGGGCTCCTTCCGTAGACCAATTTGTATGGAGATATCTGCGTCGTCTCCTGCACCGCCGTGTTGTATGCGAAAGTCACATACGGAAGAATGGCGTCCAACGTCTTGTGTTCGACATCGACGTACATTGACAGCATGTCGGCGATCGTCTTGTTAAGCCGCTCGGTGAGGCCGTTGGTCTGTGGGTGGTACGCTGTCGT